GATCTCCTCTTGGGCTCCTCCTTCGCCGCCCCTTCGGCGGAGCTGACCTTCCTCTTGGGCATCTTGGCGGCGCGCGGGGCGCCTGCGGAGGCTGCGGGTCGGGTCGAGGCGCACGGGAGCCTCGCGGAGAGACGCGGCTCGACCGCTGCCGTTCCTCCCGCCGCCAGAGCTGCTGGAACCCACGGCGGGGGCGGTGGGAGAACCGGATGCTGGTTTTTCAATTTTAAGAGTATTTCAGTTTTGTAAATTTCCCATTAGAGTATCAGTTTATTGTAATAATACTTTAATTGGTTTGAACTATGTTTATGTTTAGACAGTAATTCAAGTTCAAGTGACTGACTAGATCAGTCCACTTTTTATTAATAAAAAGACTGATAAAGGTGATTTGGTCACTAAAGGTACAAGCCACCTGATACCTATACCACTGATGGTTCAAGCCAGCAGCACAGTCTGATTCAAAGCAGAGCTGCCTGGCAGCAAGACATACAAATTAGGGCCCCATTGTGAATATGTTAAAGGGCTTCGAAAAGGGAAGGGGTAGCTTGATTCACAGTTTTAAGGTTTAGTCCACCACGATTGGCTGGCACAATAGCAGGAGCATCATGGCAGGAGGCGCTGAAGGCACACAGGTGCTTAGCTCATGGTGCCTGGGGAGCTGAGTACAGTGCCATGGAGGATTGGATGATGCCAAGGTGGATGATGCCAAGGTCTGCTTCCAGTGGACCAGTAGTCAGGCCCTCTTGGACCATGGCTGCAGAGGCCTTAGTGCCTGAGTGGGTGAAAATGAATAAATTTTGAATTGAATGAAAGTGAAATGAATTCTGAGAAACTAATTGCCTAAATGGCTTTCTTTTTTTTTTTTTTTAATTTTATTTGTGTGTGTGTGTGTGTGTGTGTGTGTGTGTGTGTGTGTTTGTGTGTGGCCAGCTCAGCCCACCAGGGGGCGGGACTGACTGGAATGTTGTGCTGGGGGATTGAACCGCAGTCCCTGTGCTTTGCTAAGCTTGTTCTAAGTAGGTGCTTTGGACCACTGAGCCATCTCACCAGCCCCATAAATGGCATTCTTGAGAAGGGGACCCAGTTACATCTTTGAGGCTGTGATTGGTGGGGTTTTGCTAATTCCTGAAATGCCATCAAGGCATCTTTTTATCCTGAACAAAGTTTTTATTTTTTCTTTAATGACACTCATCTCTTCACCCACACCTCCTTTGCCCCAAACATTACACATGGCTCCTTGTGGGCCATTTCCCCCCCTCCAAAAAAAATTCTGCTGTGATTTTTTTTGCTTTAATTCTCACTATAATTTTTTTATGTATTTAGTACTGGGTCTACAGGATCTCACTACACAGATTGGACTCATAGTGATTCTCCTGTTTTCAGCCTCCCAAGCGCTAGGATTACAGGCGCATGCCACCACACCCAGTCTCATTTGCCATCTCAGCATGCCCCAGGGCGAGGCCAGCACGGCAGGCCGGGGATCGAACCCCAACCACTGCACTCTGCCTAAGTAGGTGCTTTAGTTTGCTGAGCTATCTGGCTGGCCCTTCT